TACAAATACAATATATAATATGTTGGAGTCCACCTCTATGATAATGTAGGTTCAGAAAAGCTGAGGAAAATTTTGCATTGTTGCTTTGGGTTTCTTATACCATAGTTTTTTTAAAATAAATATTATAATTTATAATTCACGTTAACAGTGGCGCCGAAACCATAAGTCAAGTTACCAACAGTCGCCATCCTTTTTTTAATGGGTGGGTGGTGGGGGGTTACATGGTGGGTGTCTAACCCTCTTAAGGATGAGGTTGATTACTGATTAGGTTTAATTCATAATAATATAAATTATAAATGATCCATGCTTATATATTTAATTATAAAGATTATAAAAATTTCTGCTGATGCATTTAATGGTTTCGAACAAGTATAATATGGGAAATGTATAACTGCAGCAGATTTAAAAAGAGAATATATCCAATTTGCAAGTGTTTATATGGAATTAGAAAAATCTGTAACCTTACCAAAAAAATTACACAAACACAGGACATTACAGATGTACTCTATTCTGATACAAAAAATGAACAAGATAGTGACGATGATAATTTTTATGTTGAAAATCAAGGTTATACAATGTATGCTGTAAGACAGGAATACAGGATTAAATGATGTATTTCCTGCACTTTACATAGCTCTAACACTACCAATACCAAGTGCTTTGCCAGAGAGAGCGTTTTCAAAATTAAAGCTGATCAAAACACGTCTTTGAAGTACTATRTGCGAAGATAGGCTTAAAGGACTGATGATAATGTCATGTGAAAAGGATGTTCCTGTTTCATGTAATTTAACTGAAAAAAAAAATTAAGACAATAAAATATTCTACACTTTATTTTAAACACTTACAAATTTTGTGTTGTCCTTTAATTGGAAAATGATTTGCCATCATGATTGGATCTTTATATATAAATATAAAAGGACTTTCATTTTCTCCTTGAGGACATTTTGAAATGTACTCTTCTTGAGACAAACAATCCACTACATTCACACAGCCCAACAAACATCCAGTTGAATATCGTTTTGGAAATTCAATATCTTAACACAAAGTAGAAAAAATTAAATTAAATTAATTATTTAATCAAGAAATACAAAATTCTAATGTTTAATTTCATTAGGTACCTATTTAAAAACACAAATTATTTTGTATTTAAAAGTTTAAACGCCAAGGCTCAATAAAATAATACGAAGATATTGATAAATTGTTTTTATGGAGATTTTTAAAGGTTAAGAGTGCTACATGAATGTTCAAAAATTGAATATTTAAACAAAACACAATTTTTTATTAAACAAAATTAGTTAATTTGTTGTAACTCATAACTTATAATTAATCATACTTAAAAATGTTCACCATGTATTTTATATTTTTTTTTAATAGCTGAAATTATAACTTATTAGGAGCTCCAAGACTTTCAAATGTACACTTACCTCCTTTTAAATGTTTATAAAACGTCTCAATTTGTTTTAATTCCTCTAGACTGGGTTTTTTAGCTGTTGATGCAATTCAAAGTCTTCCGTGGTGTGAAGTAAACCATGTTCGGCCTTCATGATTAAAATGAAAGAAAAAAAATGTAGTAGTGAAAAGAAACTAAAAAGTAACATTTAAGTTTACTCATTAATAAAATATTAAAATAAATTAAAAACCGCTTTTAATTGTATAATACCTACTTAGAAAGAGTAAGTTTTATTTGWTGTGAAGATTTTTATTGTCAATTAATGACAATTTTAAGTATATTTAAAAATGAAAAATTAACGAAATCTTAATATGTTTGATTGAATAAGAAATAATACACATAGTACACAAATTGTTTAATGATATTTAAGTTACCTTTTAATGTTAAGTAACAAGAGAGATGCATATGGCTGATGCATGCTCAAACAAAGACCTGGATCGGCCATCGACATTAGCTCAGCATCTTGTACCCTACTGAATCCTGGGTTATTTTGTAWGAGTGGCTTTTGAAGATCAATGGTGTGTCTTTTAATTTTTTTTATAGCATCATCATCAAACTGAAAGGCAATACAATTTTTTTTTTTAAATATATATCAAATGTATTTAATTATAATTAGGGTTTGGA